ATCGGGATGGTACTGAAGCTTGGAGAAGCAATGTGCGTGTTACATCAAGCAAATGACGATTCTTCCGTTCTGCAATACCATTTTGTTGAGGGGTATTGGGACAAGATCGTTGCGACAAGATGCCTTTTTGTTGAAGGTATTCCTGAAACTTATGAGACATGTACTCACCACCAGAGTCAGAGCGAAAATTTTTAACACTTGCTTGAAATTGAGTTTCAACATATGTTAAAAATTTCTTAAACACAGAAAACACTTCAGATTTAGACCGAAGGAAATATATCCAAACAAAATGACTATAATCATCAATAAATGTGACAAAATATTTATAGTGAGAATGAGAAACTACAGGATACATACCCCATACATCACTATGAATCATTTCAAAACAAGTGTAAGCACGATAAGCACCAGACGAAAAATGAAGTGTTTTACTCTTAGCTAATTTGCAAATAGAACATGAAATAGAGGCATTAGAAACATTTTTATATCCCAACAAACCATTTTTAAATAAATGGGACAAAACAACAGAGTTTGGATGACCTAATTTTTTATGCCAATTCTCATAAGAGTTCAAAACATTATTACAAGCAAGAGATATATGATTAGAAATAAACTGGAGTGGAAACAGTCTTCCCACTTTAGGCCCCTTCGCGATCACTCTCCCCGACACTTGTTCCTGCACAAGACAACCATCACGAGAAAAGTTAACATCATAATTTTTATCTACCAATTGACCAACAGATAATAAATTAGACGCAAGTCCATGTGATACAAGCACGTCCCGAAAATCAGAGTTGATGTCACCAATATCCGTAATAGATAAAGTATTACCATCAGCTATTTGAATTTTCTGATTACCATGATAAGAGTGTAAATTGTTCAAATACTCTGAAGAACCTGTCATGTGATTGGATGCACCCGAATCAAGAAACCATGAGCGAGAAACATTAGAAGACTTACCCTAAATTCCTAAGGCCGAGAGAGCGGAAAGTACCATTTGTTGAATCAATTCAGGTTGTATAGCACTATCGTTTGATGCCCCATTAGTGGAAGGACCAACCGCATGATTTGCATGGAATGCTTGTACTGAACGTTGTGTTGGTCGTGGAGGACGTGTGGGACACTTAGAGATAATATGACTATGTTGCTTGCAGTAATTACAAAACTTCTTATTGTAGCTACGAGCAATATGACCAAATTGTTTGTAAGAGAAGCATTGAACCTGTTTCATATCACGATTTTTACCTTTACTTTGAGCAGCATATGCAACCATCACGGGCTCGGAAATGGTAGCATCATGAGACATGGCTCCTTGAGTAATAAGACGTTGTTCCTCCCTTAGGAGTTCTCCAACACATGTATCTAAAGAAGGAACAGGATTCCTATTCAGCAAGGCACCTCTGACAACCTCAAATTCTGGACGTAATTTCATGAGAAATTGATCTCGACCACTTGTGTTGTAAACCTCTTGAACAGCCGCGAGAGAGGTCTTGGGAACATTAGCATGTATAATAGCAGAGTGTTCTGCCCAGAGATTTAAAAAACCATAATAGTATTCTTGAATAGACAAATCACCTTGTTTGTAGTTGGCTATTTCTAACTCCAACTGAAAACGTTTTGCCGAATTTCCCTGGTTGTAAATGCGCTTTAGATAATTCCACATTTCTTGAGCAGTTGAAAAAGAGCGTAAGTTATTGATCATGTGAGGATCAATACTGTTGAGAATCCAAGTGATGATTTGAGCATCTTTAGTTTCCCACGCATCTAAACCAGTTTTCTCCGTCGGTGCCTTAGAAACACCATCTAAATGACTCCATAATCCCTTTCCTTTAACATACATCTTGAACTGGAATTCTCATACAGAATAATTCTTGCCGGTAAAACGGACACAAAAATTATTCTCATTTTCCATTGCCATTAGATATAACCCCTTTGTATTGTTAAATAAACAGGATAAATCCAAACCCAGTGTGCACGTGCAACCAATTTATTTAATAATACTAATTAAATAAATAGTAAAACAATGGGAAGCAAACCAGGAAACCACGCGGTAGCTAAACCAGGAAACCACACAGTAGTTAACTAACGGTGAAGAAACACCCACGATCTAGAAATCGCCAACAATTCAACAATGAAACCACGATCACCGAACAGAATCACCAAGAACAACGACCACCAAGCGGAATCGCCGAGAATACGAAACGGAATCGCAAAGCACAATATGTTAGCAGCACCAAATGATTAACAATCACCGAAAGAATGTGCGATAAACACGGAATCAAGATCACGAAGCAACAACAATGAAGAAATCACGAAACGGCAATTGAAAGATTTCAGATTTCGAGAAATACAAACAAGAAACACGATTTCAAGAGCGACCCAGTGGGGTGTCGCTATTCAGCCAAGAGAACAAGGATTCACAGGTTAGATCGAACCCTTCTGATACCATATCATGAATTATGGCTTGATGCCTTTCTCATTGCATTTGATACTATATATAATAGTATCGGTAATTACAACTCATAATGACTAATTACAACTCATAATAACTAATTACAACTTATAATGGCAATTTCCTATTCTATGAATGTAAATTATTCACAATAAATATGTTTGATTATTTCCTAATTAAAAGATTATGTTGATGTATGTCATATTACTTAATAAGAAATGTATAATGGACAATGATTTTGATTTTATTAGTAAGAAGAATTTGAATGAGAGTATGCAATAGTTATAATTAAGTTTTATTCAACATGAGTTATTAATATATTGGAAAGATTTTCCTAGTAAATGAATAGCAATGTGTTATCAAAGGTTAAGTAAGTTAGAGAGAAAGTGTTTATGAGGAATTGAAATGTTGAGAAGGCTGTCTATGAGTAACTGTATGCAGAAAATTATTTTGTTCAGAGTGTCTAATTTTTCCGATATTTGTGAATTAGTTTATGTTAGTGCATATTATTTAGGTGAGAAAATGGAAAGTTAATTCACTTAATAGGATCTTTTAGGGCTTCAAGATCTAGTGCAACACATTCTATCCCTCAATCTGAGCCGCATGACTCACTTGAAAACTAATGGCTCAGATTAACCAATGAACATTTGATAGAGAGAGACTCAATAACAATTCTTAGACGCGTTATCTCCATGACCAAAAGCTACTTGAGCTAAATTTTCTCCCTATCTCCATCATTATAAAATGATAAAATAAAAAAGTTGTTTGATGTTGACAAAAAGAGCAGGTTAGTAATTTGGAAGGTCTCTTTCAACGCATGTTACATATCATCAAAGGCAATAGTTGATTTAAGTCATCTAAATGTTTTTGAATTTTAATACAGATATATTCAAACATATATTACATAACTATGTTTTTATTAAATGTTTAAAAATATTATTTGGACCACTAAAATCAATCTTATCTAAATTAATGAGTGAAACCATTCTCCTTCACTTGTTCTGATTTTTCTTTAGTCTTAACCTTTTCTTTCTCTTTGCTCATCTCTTGTTTATCTTTCTCTGCCTCATCTTGAACTTTTTTCTTTTCAATCTCAAGAGATTGAATCAAATTCTTCAAACAAGACTCAAAATCTTCAGTAATAGACTTTGGCATCAAATTCTCAGCAACATCAGCAGGTGTCATATTAATCTCTCCTAACAACTTTTCAATAACCGGAAACAGCTCATCATGAAACTCAACATCTAAGTAATTCCTTGCAAGCACCTTGAAAGCTTGATAACCACAATATGACATCTCTATGTGCTTATCCATCCTTCCCCTCCTAATGAGAGCAGGATCAAGTTTATCCACAAAATTCGTCGTAAATATTATAATCCTCTCAGCTCCACACGCCGACCATATTCCATCTATGAAATTCAACAAACCTGATAAAGTCACCTTACTTTTCTTTTCCTCTTCTTTCTCAGCCTTTTTAATAGGATCCATTTTTTCATCATTTTCATCTTTCTCCGTTTTCTCCTTCCTTTGGCCAGTGAGGTCAAGGGAACAATCAATATCCTCGATAACTATAATTGATTTACTCGACGTATCAATCAATAGTCTCTTCAACTCATTGTTATCCTTAATAGTTGTCAGCTCAAGATCATAAACATCATAGTTCATGAAATTCGCAATAGCCGATATCATCGTAGATTTTCCAGTCCCTGGTGGACCGAAAAGTAGATAACCGCGCTTCCATGCTTTCCCGATTTTTGCATAATACTCTTTCCCTCTCTTAAACTTGACTAGATCGTTTATGATCTCTTCTTTCTTCTCCGGCTCCATAGCAAGTGTTTCAAATCTCGCAGGGTGCTCGAATATTGTGTGACTCCACTTCGAGATTCTAGAGCCCCACCAATCATCACTTGGATTATTGGTGTGAAGCTTCAACTGCCTATTCTTCGTTGTAATAGCCTTTCCTTCTTCCAACACATGTTGAATGTACGATGTAGTTATAACATCGCGGTTTCTTTTATGGAAGGTTAATGTTAAGAATCTCTTCTCGTCCGAAACTGGATAGTAGGAAAATGATTGTGATTTTGAAGTGGTGTGATTGGCAGACCACCAAACTTTGATTCCATTGAACTCGTCGACGATTTCTTGATTATCGTCCATGCTTAGGACTAATGGAGTTTGGCTATCTTTGATAACTTCGGCTTTGAGTTTTGTAGCACCTTTTGTTGAGTTTGAGCTAAGATATGTTTGGATGATTTTGTAAGTTTCGTTGTGTTTGAGTTTCTCTCCGGATAATTCATGGAATGTGATTTGTATATATGGATAGAAAAGGGTTGAGAATTTGGTTGTGTATGTTAGAAAATTTCTTCGAAGATGTAGTGGAAAGAATTGTTCATACATGGCATATACAAACATTATGCTAGCCAAGATTGAACCTAGTTGTGACCATAATTCACCAATCCCCATAGCAATCTCTAATACTTTGTAATGTATAAGAATAGAATGGTATGTGAACTCAAATGAAGGTGTATTTATAAATGAGTTTCATTTCATGACAACATGGAAAGGAAAGGACCGTGTAGGTTCTCTATGTTTTCATGTAAATTTCTTGGTGACTAAGTTTTGTGTACTAGGAGACATGAGAGTTGGTAAACTCAGAACTTCTACTTTTCAAAATAAGTGTTTATTTGACCTAAAAAATTATCTTAAAATAACTGTCGTTTTATTTTTGTAATGTAAGATTAATTGATTTTTACTAATTTTATTTTTAATTAATTATGTCTGCACCATTTTTAAGATATTAAATTTCGTTTTATTTTTATGATAATGTAAAAGTAATTAATAATTATTAGCGATAATTTTGTAAATGAATTAATATTTAATTTTTTTACTCATCATTTTTTTAATATATGTGTCACAACTTTTAAAACCTTTTGGGACGGAGGGAGAAGGAAGTCCTTGACCAAAACCCAAGATGAGATGCATGTGATTCAAAGAACATGGATGTGTATTAGACTTGTTCAATTCTATATGTTTATGTTTTTTCACTCTGTCTTTTTCACTTTCTATGTTCGTGTTGTTGAAAACTCATCAAAGTTTATGATAAATTTCTACCACAATGATAATTTAATTATGAGACAAACAAAGAAAAGAAGACAAGACAAATAATTTCTGCAGAGTTTCTCTCTGCTCACAAACTGTGAAAACTTTATTATTCACTTTGCAACTGCAAAATACTGTGAATGACTTGCTTGATTTGCTTACAAAAAATAGGGGTTACTCCCTCTATTTATAACTGAGCTTACACCCTAAGCTCAAAGTTCAAAATATCTATTTTGTTTACTAAATCAAATCTAATATATTCTAGACTTAAATCAAATCTATTTAAATCTAAAACAAATCAAATCTTTTCAACACTATGAATTACAATTTAACACACCACCTAATTCATTGTGTCTAAACTATCTATATTCATCATGACTCTTAGCCTTCTAAATACTTCGACTTGCACTCCCTTCGTCATGATGTCTGCAATCTAATTCTCAGTTCTGCAGTGTTTCAAATTCATCTTCCCATCTTCTACCTGTTGTCGAAGATAATGGAACCTCATTTCGATGTGCTTACTTCGACCATGTGCTATTGGATTCTTCGCCAGATTGATAGGTGACATGTTGTCGATCTTCATGGTAATTGCTCCATGATTTTTCCCTGTTATCTCTTCGACCAAGTTCACCATCCAAGTTGCTTGACATGCACAAAGAGAAGAAACTATGTATTCTGCTTCACATGATGATAATGCCACTACTGGTTCCTTTCTCGAATTCCAAGCAACTGGTGCACCACCTAGAATAAACACATATCCTACTGTTGACTTTCGATCTTCAGCATCACTACACCAACTCGAATCAGTATATTCCACTAACTTGTATTCTTTTTCTTTATCAGCTGCAGGAAACAAAATGCCATAATCGAAAGTTCCTTTGAGATACCTTAGCATCCTTTTCACTGCTGCTAGATGTGATACTTTTGGCTTCTGCATGAATCTACTTACTATACCTACACTATATTCTAAGTCAGGCCTTGTATGACAAAGGTATCTCAATGATCCAATAAGTCTTTTGTATTGGGTTGGATCAACATCATCTTCATCTACATCTTTCGACAGTTGCAGTCTTGGTTTTGCAGCTGTCGAAGTTGAGTTGCATTCTTCCATCTTAAACCTCTTGAGAATTTCTCCTGCATATCTTTTTTGATGCATCACCAAACCTCTACTTCTCTTGTAGAATTCGATGCCAAGGAAATATGAAATCTCACCCAAATCAGAAATTTCGAATTCCTTGCTGAGATCACCTTTGAAGTCTTCGATCTCACTCTTACAGCTACCTATTATCAATAAATCATCTACATAGAGACATAGTATAAGCAATTCACTCTTGCTTCTTCTTACATATACTCCATGTTCAGTTGTGCACTTTACAAATTTCGTCTCCTTAGGAAACTATCAATTTTCTTATTCCAAGCCCTTGGAGCTTGTTTCAATCCATACAGGGCTTTATGCAGCCTGTACACCTTTCTTTCTTCGTCATGTTTCATAAACCCAAGTGGTTGTTTAACATAGACTTCTTTGTCTAAGGGTCCATTTAGGAATGCATGCTTCACGTCCATCTGACATATGTGCCAACTGTTTATTTCTGCTAGACCAACAACCAACCTGATTGTTTCAATCCTAACAACAAATGCAAAAACTTCATCAAAGTCTATTCCTTCTTTCTGTAGAAATCCTTTCGCCACAAGCCTTGCACTACAAAAAAGAAGCTTATTTGCCACGTGAAAATCACGGGGCAAACATCAAAATCACGTGGCAAAACAAAAATAGCGACGTGGAGACTTATGTCGCTGGGGAGCCAGTGGCAAGCCAGTAGCGACATGATTCCCATGTCACAAAGTTGTGACGTGGTATTCACGTCGCAAAAGCTTTGTTTTAGGGAATATACATCTGACATACAGCAGCTTTAGTTGCGACGTGAGAATCATTTCACTAATTTGTGACATGATTCCCACGTCGCTACAGGTGACGTTTTTATTTTTTTTAAAATTGTTTAGTAATTATTTTTTATATTAATTAATTTATGTAATAAAATTTAAATAATAAAATTTATATAATAAAATTTAAATAATAAAATTTATATAATAAAATTTATATAATAAAATTTAAATAATAAAATTTATATAATAAAATTTATATATTAAAATTATTAGAATAATAGTATTTTATTATATATTCGAATAATAGAATTTTATAAAATAAAGTCATATAATAAAATGTTATATAATTTAATAATTTAAAATGATAAAAATAAATATCTTACATAAATGCAAATTTAAAAACGAAATAAATAAAATGTTTTCACGGGGCATCTTCACCCGGATAATTATCAAGATCAAAATCATCAATTCCGTCATCATTCGGCTGTGTATCAGGAACATTTTGATTTCCACCACCTTGCATAAACCGTCTCATCTGCTCCTCCATATCAGATTGCCTCTTCCGCATGATCTCTAACTGTTGCTCCTGCTCTTGCCTCATTGTCGTCATTTGGGCCTCCATTTCGCGTCTCACTTCACTTGCCGCCAATTGTCTTACTGTTTCAAGTTGAACCTGTGTCAGATTCGGTTGACGTGACCCTCCCTCTCCATCTCTAAGTCGTTGAAACAGATTACGATCACCAACTCTCAAGCCGACGGCCAAATTTCCTCCCGCAAAAAAGCAACCATTAGGCCCTTTTCCATTAACAACCTCATTCCAAATATAGAAATCAACATCACCATTAAGCGGCTCCCCTTCTGCTGGCCTATATTGAGGATTGTGTTCCAGAAAACGTGCTAGCAATGTCTGATAATCATCCTACACATACATTAAATAATAAAATTAAAAAAAAATTACATATATATATATATATATATATATATATATATATATATATATATATATATTAAATTTATGCTAAATTAAAACATTTATATATTAAATTATACTAAATTCAAATATATTAAAAATTTGTCACGTGATTTTCACAAATCAACTTATGAATTGCCACGTGATTTTCCCGTGGCAATGTATCAGTTGCCACATGAAAATCAGTCACGTGGCAATTTATCAGTTGCCACATGATAATCACGCCACAACTTATAGATTACCACGTGAAAATAACGTCACTATTTTTGTTATTAACTTAAAAAAAACATAAATTAAATTACTTACAAAAGCTCTCTTTGTGCGCTCGTCGACAAAACCTCCCGATTTCTTTGTCCGAGTCCTCGTAATCAACTCAATGATCAATGGTGGTCTCCCCATCTCCTTAGTCTAAACAATAAAGTTAAAAATAATTAGTAAAAAATATTATGAATAAAAATATATATAACTTAAAAAATTAGTAATATTTACCATCCGCCGGACATGCTCTGCAGTGCTAATACTTCCAACAGTATTGACACATCCCCCCTTTTTGGATGCCCTCATCTTCTTAAAATTTTCGGATTTGGCCTTGAATTCTGGCGAACCCCAATATGTACGAAGTTCGCCAAAAACCTCTACGCATATCCAGTTAGGACGGATACCATGCAGCTCATAATTCTCCCTAACCCGCCGCATTATATCAAAAAATCTTCTAGAAGTTCTGCTATAATAGATTTTTTCCATAATTTTCTCATTCAACGGATCCCACACACATTTTTCCTGCAATGTTGTATGACATTAAAATAAAAAGTTAAGTAATTATCATTAAAATGTGACTTAAATAACAATACTAAAAAAATATATTAAATTTACAACTTAAATAAATAACAATACCTTAAATTTTTTAAACCATTCTTCTTTATTTGTAACCTCGCCAAAGTTCCTCCAAGATGATTTATACATCTGCTGAATTATATAATTAATAACCTTGGCAGCATTCCGACTCGGCGCGAAACTAAACAACAAGATTTTGAATAAACAATATTAATTATAAATTTATACAAAATATTAAAATGAATATGTACTTAAATAAAAGTTTATATAAGAAACTTACTTGCTTCCTTCGGGCCAAATCCAAAACCTCCCGTCAATGACATGAATCTCACTCGGATCATCTCTCTCACGAAGATCAGCTCCATCTATATCATCAGCTACCATATCTGCATCACCGTCAGCCTGTGTAGGACGTGGGGTGCTGGATCCTGCAGCCTGTGTGGGATGTGGGGTGCGTGATCCTCCGGTCTGTCTAGGACGTGGGGCGTGGGTTCCTCTAGCCTGTGTGGGACGGGGACTGGAGGATCGTCCAGCCTGTGTCGGACGTGGACTGCTGGGTCCTCCAATGTGTGTGGAGTGTGGGGTGCTGGACCCTCCCGCCTGCTGGAAGGATGAAGACATCTGTGTGGGTCCCCCCGTCTGCTGGAATGATGAAGGCACGCCAGTCTGTAGAAATGGAAAACTGGGTCCTCCCTCCGTCGGCTGGAATGATGAATTGACACTAGTCTGCTGGAAAGATGAAGGCACCTGGGTCGGTGGGAAAGGGAAACTAGATCCTCCCGCATGCTGGAAGGAAGATGGCATCTGAGTCGGTGGGAAAGGAACACTAGATCCTCCTGCCTGCTGGAAGGATGACGGCATCTGGGTCGGTGGGAAAGGGAAACTAGATCCTCCCGCATGCTGGAAGGAAGACGACATCTGAGTCTGTGGGAAAAGGAAACCGG